TTTTTTTTTTTACTTTTAAAGAAAAAGGGGACATAGATTGGTGTAATATTAGTTAAGTGTAAAAAGTGTTGCACTATGATTGTGAACCTCCAAATAAAAATGTGCACCTAATTTTTTGACCAAAGGACTTTGAGATTAAATTTTACAAAGACTTTGGGGCCAAATGTTAATACCAGTTATTCCTAGATTTGTGTCGAGCATTCATTTCTGCTCGATTGGGTCTGGTATGCCAGCAGACAGGAAACACAGTTTATATTCCCGCATACCAGCAATGAAATCAGTCCTGGGGAGTTTAACGGAAGCGTCAGACATGTACCGCCTAAACTTTTGAGTGCTCCACAGGAACTGCGTTCAGCCGGATCTCCAGGCATTGGAGGGTTGAGGCGACGCAGTTTTACCAGAGTTGGCCGACAAATAGGCGGAAGTCACTGGACGCGCTTTCAAAATAAAATTAAAAAGCGAACGTTTCCGTTGTCAACAAATGCACAGGGGCGCGGATTTGTTTTACTTTGAAAGTAACAAACCGGACATTCCAAGAATCCTATGTTTCCAAACTTTACAACCAACCGCATGATCTTCCTCAGGTTTTCAGGGAGCGGAACGAACTTTCCGTAGAAATGGTATTGAAGTTCGACACTCCGCAACGACTGAGTTACGGAGAAGTGGCCGCTGAGTCCTGGGCTTTGTGATGTTCATGGCGAATGGGATGAAAGCGCGACTGCAGCGACTCAACTTGTTCAACATCAAACAGGAACAGAAAGATGTAAGTGAAGTTAATGGGCTGTTCAGGTTCGCCTGCCATGCTAAGAGGACAGTTAGCTAACATTAACTGGACCAGTTTGAGACTAATAACTTCAGTTAAGTTAATGAAACTTGTTAGAAGGACTTCAACTATGGTTTGACGCGAAATTGCAAAGGACAATGTGGAATGTGAGCTATTAAATTCTGTGAACTGCCCAGTTACTAATCATGCTAGTTTACAAAACGTTTAGTTTGTTTTTAAGACACAGAATTGAGATTATTGCTTATTTCATTTTGATTTGGAAGCTACAATGGGTCAAGTTTGGGCGTGTAATCTTATCATTGGTTGGTTATTTTCTAGAGGGACTCAAAGACCACTTTTATAAAGTCTATTGTTTAAACTTCTACAGATGTGTGTGAGACAGGCCATAAACCTGTCTGTATTTTCTTGCAGCATTTGTGGGGTAAATTAGCTTCACTTGTGGTGTTTTCAGCTTTGAGTTTGGATTACTGTATTGTCTGTGTTCCTCTTTATTAATGTCTGATCTAATCAGTTATAAATGAACACTGTCATTTGGTTATTTTGTGACACATCTGTTGCAAAAGATACATTAAGGACATCCTCTTCGTTTAGAGCTGCACTGTGTCATTTAGCATTGGCATTATGTGCAAATATTTATAAATGTCACATTGATGACATGTGATGCTAAGAAGGGAAAGTTTGTCATGTTTTATGAATTTATTGTCTTCTGGGTGTTGCATGGGAAACCTGGGCTGATCTTTTTCTTAATGCTTTTCTATCAGGGAAGTCCACCAGATCAGTCTGTTTGAACTCAGCTTACAGCTCTTTGGGATTCTTGAAACTGTGCTGAACTTTAAAAAAAAAAAACTTTTACAAAGCCTTACACGCATATTCATTCAACCTTTATTTATTCAGGTTAATCCCAGTGAGCCTCGAGGACTCATTTACAAGAGAGACCTGATTTCAGCAAAGAACGATGACAACAATGGACAACAGCGACAACAATAGACGAATATAAAAGATGGCAAAAAAGTAGTAAAAACAGCTAGATTATAAGGTGGATGTAGAAAACTAAAAACAGGAACATGTCTGCATTGGTCCCCGCCAGGAGTCCAGCAGATTCTTAAAGCCACTAAGAGAGGTCAAGGTCGAGAGCGTTCAGATCTCTGTGCAAGATATTCATATTCATATAAATTCGTTTGCTGTACTCAAAGTAATATACAATGGGAACGGGCAAAATGTTTGCCTTGTGGGATTAATGGCCTGTCCAGATTAAAAACTAAAAGCTATATTTAATCCAACCCTTTAATTAAATAAACACATTAATGCCACAGATATGCCTTTATTATTATTATTATTATTATTATTATTATTATTATTATTATTATTATTATTATTATACTAACCTAAAATGCAAATGCAAGGAATTGCAGTATTGCAGTCCAATATGATTTTAAATATTACACGGCCTTCTGTTTTACTGCGTTCAGGCTCTTGGTCAGTGTGGTTTAGTGCTGTTCTTTAAACTTTTCTGTTATGATGCTCCTGGTTTCCACGTTGTTGGTTCTGGCAGTTTTAATATTTGTGAAGTTACTGGTTTAAGTTTTCTGATTGTCTAAACTGCCCAAAACGAATCCAGTTTGCTTGGATCTTGCGGACACCGGCCAAATGTAGGTGTATGTGCGAGAGCATGGCAGTGAGTCATGTCACCTCTGACGTTTCTGTACTCATGCCAGAACTTCACTCCTGGGGCAGGAGGAAGGGTTTTTGTTCAACACGTTAGTCACACATCTTTATCTAGCTCTGACTTCAGCACTCTGTCTCTAATCTGGTGGATTAAATGCACATTGCCACCACCTAGAATCACGAATCTGTTTGTTTTTACTTTTTTCACCCCTAGATTTTGTAGTTGTTCACATCACTAGAGCAAGATCTCACCAGTATGGTGTTGAACTGAGATTTTATTTAGTTAAACCTTTTGTATATAATGTTTTACAGAACATTACCATCAGTTGTGTTTTTAAGAAGTGAATAATGTTTTATGTATAAAAGAACTGGTTTTTGTTTAAACCTGTAAAGTCCAGTTGACAGCACTTCAGATTGCTGCCATCGTGATATGATGGAAAAGGAGTTGTAGATAATGATTACCCAGATTTGTTCAAAGAAACTTTGTTCTCAACTCCTCTTTTCTTCTTGTAATTCTTTGGGCTCAGCCTTTTTCCTTCATCATTTTATCTCGGCTCATGTGACAGAAGTGTGACATGTGACTGAACACACTGCTGCTTCCTGTTTTTCTTTTGATCTGATTTTTGTTTATTACCTGCAGTTCACTGTTCAGTGTCACCTCGCACTGACTGTCTTAATGTGAAACTCCTGCAGATCCCTTTGGTCCTAGAGGAAATCAATAGCTGGTGTCATTGCTCCTTTTCTAAGCTGAACCAGATGACTCAGCTTATAGATTTAGATACATTTGTTTGTTTTTAGCCCCCGTTGCAGAGTGAAGAAGGGGAATTGGAAATACCCTCACTCTGTCCGTCTGTGCAAGAATGTGGTCCTGATGACTTGGAAAAATAAGTGAGGTTTCAACTTACATTTGAGTGTGTGGCTACATCTAGACATAATAATAATAATAATAATAATAATATGTTCCCGTACAATAATGAAATTGGTTCTCTGTATTTAACCCATCACACCTGGGATACACCCAGGTGGAGCAGTGGGCAGCTATGTAAGCTCCTGGGGAGCAATTTGTGTTTAGGTGTCTTGCTTAGAGACACCACGACGTGGGAATGGCTGGAGATCGAACCTGGGACTTTCGGGTCCCGAGTCGGCTGCCCTGCTTCTACCCCATCACAGAAAAGTTACATTTGAAAATTGGGTCTCCATGTTAAAATCCAAGATGGCCACTACAGTATTTAAATGTAAACCGACCACCCCTGTTATTTGATGAAGCTATGCTTTATTTTATACTGCTTTAAATGTTAGTTGTCTCAAATGACTAGGATGTCTGAAGATTAATCTTTGGTGGCCATGGCTCTGCCATTGAATATCTTGCACCAAAAACATTAAGGTTTACTCACATTCCCTGGTCAGTTCCATCCATCCATCCTTCCATCCATCATCTATCCATCCCTTATCAAAAACTATGAATATTTACTATTCAAATCCCTCAGCGACGTGCCACTTGTTTATTTTAATGCTACTTGTCATAAATGTTGAAAATTTCTTCCTTATTTCTTTGGCTGTTTTTAGGGTTTTATCTCTTTTCATTTAAACTTGGAAATCGGTGTGTTGATTAAATTTGAGCTATTTCTGCTTCATGACATCTCTGCCCTCCACTCTCTTTAAGTATCCTTCTCTTCTGGTAAACATACGATGAACTTTGAACTTGGCTTTGCTCCAAAAGGCTAAAGACTCGGGCACATGACCGTGGAAATTAGGCGAGGGGATTTTTAATTGTGTCGTCATCAGTGTTGTTGATTTCCTAGGCTGTCTGGTGCGTCATGAGGTTCAGTGTCATTTTCCTGTAAAATCCAGGGTTTTTCCTGACATTTTCAGTCAGGCAGCCAAATAAAACACCCTTTTAAGTTTTTAGAAACCTTTTCTCAAAAATTCTAGTTAAAAAGATGTGGGAGTAATAACACTCCTTGGGAAAGTTTTTTTGGCCTAATTATTTTACTGTACTCCATTTCCTAAGTTATGTCAAAATTAGTTAAAATTAGTGTTTCTGTACTTTTCAGCATAAATTAATGTTTGATTGTGATATTCCCGTAAATTCTGTTATTGAATGAAAAACTTGAAAAATAGTTGCTGTTCCTCAAACATTACGTGAATCTAGTGAATACTAAAATTATCAAGTTGAATAAGATTTAAAGTCACGGTTTGTCTAAAACTTTGTCATAATTAACTTACCCAGCTTTTCCTTGAGTTTTATCTGTTTTGTGTAACAAACGTTTGATTTCTCAGGAACGTTGATCGTCTTCCTGTTGTAAGTGGAAAGTTTCTCAGGACTCAATGTTTAAGTTAAATTTTCAGATATTTTCAGGGAAATGTTGGTCTTAAAAGACTGCTAAACTCATAAATAAGGAGTTTAGATGTTTTTGTTACTGAACTATTTGACTGATTCTAGCATCCCAACTGGAAGCACATTCAGGTCCAGCAGGGAAAAGTGTTGTTGAAACTTTAGGCTTCCAAGAGCGCTGGTTAGGATTACTAAAAATAGATCCATACGCCTTGTTGCGTCGGCAAATACCCAGATGTATCCAACAGAACTTCAAGTACAATAAAATACAGTGCCAATAAATAAATAAAACTGTAGAAAATGGCATTTAAGAAGTGTTGTTGCTACGGGACTTGCAATAGTTCATATGCTGGCAGGCCTCAAGGTATTTGGTTCATGCCGTTTCTAAAGCCGATTACTCAAGGAGAGAAATGTGATGGATTAGACTCTGGCTGAGTATGCTTTGACCAGACAAATGTAAACAAGAATACATACACCTAAGTTAAGATAATGTTTTTCAAACAATAGAGATCCCAAAAATGCTACCACCATCCTGACATTCTCTACCTGGTGTAGTGTCAAAGCAGTCTAAAAGAGGTTTACGTATCTAAAATTAACAAAACAATGTTAAAACTTAAATGTCCTTTGTTTCCAAGTTAAAAATTGATTGTGGTTGTAAGAAAACTTAGGACTTATCAGTTTTTAAAGAACATTTTCACTTTTGAAATATAGAGTAAAAGAACTGTTAGCTAAGAGCTAACCGTTTAACAAAATAAAGCAAAAGAATCGGCTGGGTAAATCATTCTTATTCCAGCTGCCAAATACCTGCACAATGCATGGTGAATTGATGGCACGCATCCTACATGAAAGCTTGTGTTATCCGTGCTCTTTTTTTACCGAGACAAAAGAACACAAATCGGCACGGAAATACCGGGAACGCCACACGTACCTTTTTATCAATTTGGCCCAGTTGACGGAAACTGCTAGTTAGGCCTGTCGC